AGTATTGAACCCATGGATGTTCGTGTCACTAGCGATACTGTTGATTGTAAGAGTTAAGTTCACCACCCAGAGGTCCTACCTCTGAATGCAAGATAATGTGCCATGTTGTTCCTTCCAAACTAACAGGATGTGTTTGATATTATTTTAATTGTGGATTTTGTCTTATGTGTTTTGTATCCATCTGTATTGACAATGATATAATATAATGATTGTTAAATGTTGTCACCAAGAATTGAAGATTTAATGTATTACTTGTAAAGTAAGACCTGAGGGTCCAGTCCTATCTGAACGTGTAAAGTATCTAGTGTATTTGTCAAAGAAATAATACAACATTTGTTTAATGAGGAAACAAGAATTGAAGATTTCATTTGTTACTTGTAAAGTAAGACCTAAGAGGTCCAGTCTGATCTGAGTGTAATTAATTAACATCTTATTCACTCCTTGTGTTAATAAATATTTAATTAGTAAACTACTAGTATCACCACTCTATTCCTTTCTAAACATTGGTTCTCAGAAAATAATATTAGTAACTCACGTGCCAAGTCTCGCTAACACGCTACCTAACCATTTCTTGAGATATGTTATATTCTAATAAAAGTCTGGGTGGTGGCAGGCTACTGTTGTAAGTATAATAAGTTTTATGCTAAGAATGACATGGTTCCCGAGACTAATCCATGGTTTAGATATAATTAAACAAGATATACTTGAGAAAAGGTAAGAACATAGGAATTCAGAAAATACAATACTTTATGAAAAGAAATGAAGAAAAGAAAAGAACATTGACTTGGAAAAAATAAGCAGAGAAATATAAGAGCCACTTCTATACGAGTATAAGCCAGAATATAAGTAAGTAATTTAAATAAAAATATAAGTAAATAAGACAGGATCTTAATATAGGAAAGTCAAGGACCATGGTTTTCCGAGGAATAACAAACAACCGTTAGAGATTGGCATCTCTTTACTATAAAAATATAACAAAACTCTGACACCACTCAACAAACATCAAATAATTACGGGAGTCAAACCATTAATGGAAGCAAACACTTAAAGGAATCAAACAAATAATAGAATCGAACAATAAAGGGGAGTCAGCAATTAATGGAATCAAACAATGAACAAATATTTCCTACAGCAGTGGCCCTGGGGGAAGGTTCTGGAACGCGGTGATGCACACTCAGGGCAGGGAAGCGTCCACTTCGCTCCACACTCAGCAACGTCTTGAAAAGGCAGGAGAACACCGGGGCACCGACGGAATGTGATGAACTGATGGTCGTGGTATGCGGTAGTGGTAGATGACCAGAGAGTTGGCAGTTGATAGGTGAAGGTCTGGGAACACAGCCCACGAGTCCAGGACCTATGATGAGATCACAGCCAGAATTTGACGGACAGCAGGGTAGCTAGCTACTGACGGTATGGCGGCTGGGGAATCTGCTCGTGGCGAGATAGTCGCTGCCGTTATCACCTCCGTCCAACCACTCCCAAGTGTCGTCTGCACCAGCAAACGAGCGAGTTAGCAGCGGTAACTAGCCGGAGGATCGTTGCTCTACATTATATATATATATATATATATATATATATATATATATATATATATATATATATATATATATATATATATATATATATATATATATATATATATATGGAAAAACAGAAGAGAACAAAAATAAGAAATATTTGAAATAAGAATATAAGTACAAGAAATTTGAAGTAAGGAAAATCGCGCCCTTACACAAGTACAATACATCATGCGTACAATGCATTCCAGTCACTCAGATCTCCACTCCTTGATGAGAACTATGACTAGTAATTATATACAAGAATGTTAACACGATTATCAATGTTCGTTATTAATGTCCACTCTGTAACTGTATTTTTCTGGCTAAATAAACCGTTTCAACAGGGTGGGGTGGCAAGTGAAGCGAGCCTAAACATCTGGGAGTTCCGGAATTCTAAATATATTATTAGCAACACAAACAATAGCATTCATTAAAAATATACTGTTCATAGGAAAAAGAGGTATTCATGAATTTCAAGGAGAAGCTCGCCTAATTTATATCACGCTTCTTGCTGAACATAGTTTCACGTGATGGAATAGATAAACATGAATTTTAAAGAATGAAAATAAAAATAATCCAAATGAATAAACAAATAAATAATATATTGTAATACGAGGAGGCCCCCAGATTGTGGAGGCCCCTGGGCAGCTGCCCACTTTGCCCACTCCTGAATCCGGCCCTGCGTTTCAATATCAATAACAACAATACTGTATACCAATGGGCATCATTTAGAAAGTGGCTGACACATGACATTATCCTTCAGATTTAACTGTTACTTGGTACACGATGAGATCAGGACAACGTTCAAATATTACAGTGGCGATTACGATAGGATGAGGGAGAAAGTGGCGACTCAAGGAAACTCGCCCTGGGATTCCAATCTCGCCACCTTAAAGACATCCTTCAAAAGCCATCTTGCCCATAGGCGACTACCGAACCTCAGTAGTGTTGCCAACACACAAACAGCGTCTGCTGATGCGTGGAGAAGAAATCACGAGAGAGTGAATGTCTAACTTCAACTATACAAAACCTACGTCTGGCACCGATACAGACGATATCTACATTACTCGACTTAGTTGGCACATGACGGCAAGAAACAATCATCTACATACCTTGTTACGACCGTGTCGTATTTTTCAATTTTTTTTTATATAACACGCTTCCATGTTGTTCCATATTATTCCTGTAATGATGTGTTATAATATAGTCACCTTACCCTGTGCTATTAAGGTTTTAACTGCTATTATTTGTTCAAGTCCATCTTATTTCTTCATTTAGTATTGTAACAAGCATTCTTTGTCTCTCTAACGACCATCTGCATCGCTAAACGACCCATGTTTCACCTGCGGGTTTTGGCGGGAAATTGACCCTATATATAGTGCTCCACCAACTGACGAAGTTCTGTCCAGTTCTTCTTGTCATTCAGTTCACGTTCTTTTGAGTGACAGTTGTCACCTGTTTCTTATACTTCATTTTATTTCTGTGATTGTTCCTGTCGCCACCAATGTGGTATATCTATGTGAGTACCAATTTATGTCTCTTATGTGTCCATCAGTGTTTGCTTAGTTACATTTAAGTAATTCAGTGTTGTTTCACGTTAGTTAATTTCTGTGTTAGTTATTTTATATGTTTATGTAGTGTTAACGTAACCCAGTGCTTTATTTTTATTCTATATATTTAAGCAGTTCTTTGTTTCGATGTTTAGTATCATTTGTGTCTTAAGGGTTTCGGTAGTGAATCAATTTGTTGTGACAGCCTACGAGGCTCTTTATTGTGTTAATATTTAATTTAATTAAATTCTTAAAGGTTTACTTTGTTTATTTTTATTCCCTTTTGATTTACTTCACTTTCTTTTTGTTTGGTTACGCCTAGAACCTGGTTATTAATGTAAATTAAGAGATGGCGTAACAACCTGGAGATGAGTGGAGAAGAAATCACGAGAGGGTGGTATTTGCTCGGGCATCGGTATATATGCACGCCTGAGGGCATATCGGCCCCTGAGAAACTAATCTCACTAACAATAGACCTTCTATCGAAAGTAGTCGCTGGACACCTAGCTGTGACCTTCAGTGTCACAGGTCAGGTTAATTTTCTACGTCCATCTTTATGATCTAATCAGAAATTGAGTTTGTCAGGAAAGAGGTGAAATGTAGTTATATAGGCATTAGCTACTCTACTCGCCTGACCACAGACCACATTCCAGGTCAAAACAGCCGTTAAGTTTTGGAGAATTTTGAGTCCGACAGGAACTGTTCAGTAGATTAATGACTTTCTAAAATAGACAACTGAAACTAACTAGACTACAAACACCAGATTCCCTGATGTTCGGGTGACAAAATAATATAACTTCAGTTGCGATCGGAAATTCAGGATACTCGCACGAACGACAAAAAATATGCCACTCTTGCTGGCAAACAAGACACTCACTTGACAAGTTTTGCTTGTCAAGTTTATAAGGACAGTTGAAGCTTTCAACACCACTCATAATGGATCTTGAATGTTCCAACTGTAAACAGACATATCTAGGTTGCCTCACCAATTGCAACCGCAGTTGCAATTTCAAATTCTGTCATTACTAACGAATAATGAAGTCTCGGGTACATTCAAGTTTGAGAGAAAACGAAGAACTCAGGCGCCCTGAAGCGATGAGAAAACGAAATCCTCCGATGGGGAACTCAAACGAAAGCAGAGCTACATGTTTGTGGGCTATTGAGCGAAATATGAAGCGTCTGATTTTGGCGATAACTGACGTGTATAACCGTGGTCATTACAGTTGAAAGAAAATCCCAGAGTTTCTAGAGATAATTATTTTCTAAAAAAATTAAACACTGTAGTATACATTTGTATAATGTTTAATGAATTGTATTACATAAAAGTTCACCATAGATTTGGTTAGATGTTATAATGATAATCAAAGGGCTATACACATGCGAAACAAAAATCGTATTGGATTTCAAAGTTAATTGCTTCTCGCAAATGCTCCTACAAAAGCAGTAAATACAAAGTCTGAAATCTTTACAAAAATTGTATTTGGATCGAACTGAACATGCCCGTAACATTTTCAGCACGTTACAATCTCAGACCGTGACACTGGTCGGATAACCATATATCTAATGATTTTGCAATTATGCTAAGAAACAAAAAAATCCTGCTATAACTTTTAAAACCGTTAAGATCTAGGGGCCGGATACTCAAAACACCTCATAAGTTACGTCTTTCAGCATGATACAGTACCATATATTGCCGAATCCTTACACTACCGTAAATTTAGCATACTTAAAATTTAATTATGGTTCCGTAAGCCTTCCGTAAGTTCTCTTAACTCTAGTGTTTACCCTGTAAATTAAGTTCTCTTGTCGGACGGTAGATGTCAGTGCAGATGCTAGTTGGCCAATCAACGCTCAGTTAACAAAATCATCAACCAATCACAAGAGAAGGAGAAATCAGCTGAGCGCGACGCACGTAATATTATTTTGTAAACATGGAAGGACCACCAGCCAAGAAGAGACGACCTAATTTCAGTGAGGCTGAAGTATACGCTCTTGTGACTGAGGTAGCCAAACGAAAAGAAATGATTTTAGGGAAGTTGGACTCGGTAGTTGTACACTTCAACTCAAAAACCATGCCTGGGGTGAAGTGTTAAATGCGGTGAATGCTGTTGGTAGAGTCACCCGCAATGTTACTGAAATTCGGCGGAAGATCTTCGTGTTAGCGTTAAGAAAAATGCAGCACAAGATAAGAAATATGCTGGTGGAACAGGTAAGTCATAATATTGTTAGCGTGGTTATTGATTGACAATATGAAACAAGCTTAACATGGTTTTTCTGAGGCTTGGTACGATTTTACGTGTTTGTAAACTTAAGGAAGTAGTGTGGTGGCTCTCCATCGTGAATGAATACACATTTTCCTTATATGAGCACATTCATTAAAAGAAACCTCGTTCTTCGAAGTTTTCCGTGTGAGTAAATAGTAAAAACTTTACCGTTCAACCTAAATTTTTTTTTTTTTTTTGTACGTGGATTAACCAACCCAGGCACAGTCACTGACCCACGTCGGGGCCTGTAAATTCTGTAATAATAATTCTTTAGTACTATTAATAATAATATTAATAATATATAACCATAAATACCGAAATGAAAACACACAAAGTGAGAATCAATATACAGTATGTATGTTGTGTTGTCGATATTACGAGAAACAATTGCGACCCAGCAATTGTGTGTAAATGGCACATTTAGTCAGATCAGCAACCTTGGACTTGCTCCTAATTTTCGTGATGCCATATGGCAGCAGGGTCTACCATTAGATAAGGCATTATGCTTCCAATATCTTCCCACCCGATAGTCAGGATAGTCTGTACTACTATTAATAATTTCCCCACAACTTTTGGATTTTCTTATTATACCTATCATATAGTTTACACAATTTTAAGACACATTTGTCATTGTGTCGCAACTGACGTGGAACAGAGATAGTTAATATGAGTTTGTGTGGCAGGGCGGCGGAGGCCTCCAGTTGGTAAGGAAGTTAGGTTAGGTAGGTTTGGTTACTGTTATAAACTACATATTAATAATTACGTTATTTCCGACGGTAATGAAGGTCATAATGTGTAAGTTACTATAGAATTCCTTTTTTTTTTATGTAGTTAATTTTCATTCGTCAATAGATTTGTATTCATATTTGGTATACATTAATATGTAAATTTTACTTTGTTAGGCTTATAGGCAAGGATGTTCTATCTTATGAGTTTACAACTAATACAGGTTCAAAATTTCTGGCTGCGACTATTTTTTTTACTTATTTTACCATTTATTGTTTGTTACCTTAAATCTAAATAACTTTTGACATAGATAAAGGAGAATTTTTGTGGCTACAGCTACAATGATAGGTTAGGTTATAATGTTTGGAACTATTTCAATAAATTCCTTTCTAACATAGTAGTGTATATATAACATAGTTGTGTATATATAACATAGTTGTGTACAGTTTTTATTGTTTATTCTCTTGAAGGAGGCGGCCCCCAAATTGAAAATACCCTGTACATACACTGCAATTGACGAAGCAGTTCTTCATCTCTTAGATCCAGCTTTTATACATGGAATTCCAGCGATTTTGAAAAGTGAGGAACTTATTGATGGTAATTCACTCAACATACTTTTCCAACCCTCTGATAAATTTTGTTCTTTTCTGTCCTTGTTTTTAAATCCTAAAATAATTTTGGTACTATTTTTTCACTATTATCTTACTTTTGAAATACAGTATACTTATTTTTTGTATATTCTTAAAAAAAAGCAACATTAGTAAGTTAGTTAAATTTATAGCTTGCAAATTGCTTCCCTAAGTTAGATATTAAATGTTGTTATAACTCGTATGTTAATGGAAAAAAATTGAGAAGTGCAAATGCAGTATAAGAAATTTAACGCCTGGAACTAAATGCCGTATATTATAATTAAATTAATTTATAATATTGTAACCATGTTAACTTAGTTTATATTTACATTTAAAAATATTTTATACAAATATTTTTAGATGGTCAACACTATTTTTCAGACCATTTTTTGTTCTAAAAACTTTTATATATTTATATTATACCCTTAACAGAGACGTCAATCAAACTATTATACATTTCCTTCCAGAAGAAGAAAGAGCACAAACCCCAGGACCCTCAGGAGCTAGGTTTACGGCTATTCATTCCAGCGAGGAATCTATGTTTAGGACCGTTCAAGAGAAAGAGGATTCTCTAACTATCTTGCTGACTGAGGATATACGCACTTGTTAACTAATAACATGTGTTGCAGTGCTTCTAAGGATAATGTTTACCCAGGTTTTGGGTAAAAGTTCACACCACAATCAAATGTATAGCTTTGAAAACAGACTCATGTACTTATTTTTATTTTTTAAATGTTCCTTTATTTTGTAATACGTAGTTAATTTCCAGTTCAACCTGTTTTATTGATTAATTTGTATTTTTTTAATGTATGATTCAAGTAGGTTGAAACAGAAATAATGGTGCAAATTCACCAACAGCCTACTGTAATCACTGCTATTTAGCACACATTATTCTCCAAAGAGCAAGTTGTTGCATTGGTTCTTTCATAAGGATATGCTGTCTCATGCTAAATTGTATAGCTTAACAAGCCAAGAGTTTGCTATTTGTTTTCTTTATTACTTATAGTAGTACAGTATTTGGTTATAAGTTTACTTTAATATACGGGTATTGATGCAGGTACATTCTAGTCATGAGTGTTCCTTCAGTAATTCTAGACATATGAAAATTATACTGTATTCCATTTTTATATCTTAAAAATGGCAACAATTAACAGTAGTTGTATTAATTTTTCACAACGATGTGGTGACCCACGTCAAATTGTGTAGTTTAAGAAGCAAACAGTGGCAATATTTTTTATTGTTTCAATTTCTCAAATATGTTTTATATAATGATTTTTGTTTTCACAAACTTTAGTGCCTTTGGTATTTAGTAGGCTAGTATTAAAAGTATACTGTATTGGAATCAAATTTGCTCAAGGATATAGTACATATTTTATTTTCCTATATAAAATGTTTATCTTATGAAGGTAAAAGAAAGCCATTTATTTTCTGTATTTTCTATAAAGTTTTTTTTATTAGGTACAGCATGTTGAAAATAAAAGTTAATTCAATGTATGCTTTATTAGCATTACCTCTATACTGCAATAAAAAATAATTATTAAACAGTATTGTTTTTATGTTGATATTAACTTATTCAAAGTTTTATCATTAGGCCTAGAATAGAAGGGTTATGCCTGAGAAAAAAAAATTACGGCCTTAAGGTTTTGCCTGGCATTAGGGTTAAAATACTTAAAAATGCACAGCGTGTTAAAATCTCTGTACTCATTGAAAAATGAATAAAATTGTTCAGTATGAAAGTAAATAAGAGTGTTAAAAGCGTTTAAAAGATATCCTCTTGCCTCTTGTCTGTCACATACTCGCATTTGAAACTGCTTTCTGGTAGGAACAGCAGCATTCTCAGGAGCTGGAGAGTCTTTTGACCTGTGTTCATTTTATTAGGTAGTAAACATCTCCGTTAGCTGGAATCCCTGAAACCCGGAACTTTCTGAAAACCGTAATTAATTCCCAAAGCATGATTTTGCAGGAAACTTATAGCTTACGTAATGATTTTCAAAAGGGCACATTTTCCTGAAAATTATGAGAAAAGTTTCCCAGATACCCAAGAAAATTCCGGAGATGGGGGATATATTTCTGGGTTCGAGAGATGATGTAATGGGCAATTTCAGGAACTACCGAGAACATTCTTCCATTACCATAAACATTCGGGGGACGAGGGATATTTTCTTGATTTGAGATAATCGTCTCGTTCACATGAAAATTCTCATTCACAGAAGTGCTCTTCACCAATTGTTCCGGCTAACCGAGATCTTGTAGTGGTTACTCTACCATGCAGCAACTCCTCTTCCAAGCAGCAACTTCCCAGCACCAGACTGGTTTGTATATAATATATTTTATATAAGAAACCACCATTAAGAGTTTCCTTTCTCCAACCCATTCTGAGTGTGAGACAACATCAGGTAACCCTGCAATCTAACAGTATTTGTTGTTTTACCCATAATAGAATTTTGGTAAATAACCACGAGCCTAATGTTGGCCTGTGACAAGACACGTAAGCTATAATAAGATAGCCTTATTCTGGGAAACTTCAAATTAATTGGTTAATGATAGTATAGCCTTGCCTAACCTAAATGACAAATCACTTCTCTTAAATTACTCATTTAGCCCAGAACATGGTGTTTTCCTTTCAATGTTTGGGTCATTTGGTCTGAATTTGTCTTCAAGTTCATACAAAAAACAATTTAAAACATGAAAATATATCGGATTAGCCGTAAATTTTCTTAAATTAATACTCTACCCTATGATACTGTTCATGAAAAGTCTGGAACTAGGCCTAAGGTAGCTGCTAGACTAAGTGTCTCACTGACAGCCTGACCCTCGCCAAAAAACCATGTACACATTCTCTAACATACCATAACACAACCAAACCAAACCTATCTAACCTATAACCTATTGGTATAATGTTTTATTTAAATAATCCTCATGTTCTAGCTAAATTAAGTAGGCCCCATGTTTAAACATTTATTTGCTTAAGACTGAAAAAGCAGTTATATAGGCACCTATTAATCAAGTTAATTGCAATCCATATTTTACACCTAATATCATTTAATTTTGGCTAGCCTATGGAAATTTATAGCCTTGAATGTTATCATAAGCTATATACATAAGAAAATAGGCAAAGGCTATTGGTTGAATATTAGAAAAACAAGGCGAAGTCTTGGCAGGAATGTTCACTTGACCTCATATTTGGCTTTCATTACTGAGGGATATTTACGGCTATACAACATTAATAAGTTCTATCTACAAGTTTACTCAGTCATAAAACATATTTATACCCTAAGTGTGAACAATACAAACCTTCTATTTTGGTAAGAAATACTTAATAATGTGTAAGAAGACAAAAGATGCGTCTCTTCCAAACTGAGACCAATACAAACACTCAAGCCTCTTATTATGGCCACAAAAATGTTACGAAAAAGACAGTGAAATATTATAATTCAGTATGTTGATGTACAAAAATTTTTCTTCATTATTCTATGATAAAACAAGTCGAACAAGCATTATTACAACATATATTATTATTTTCTATACAATCGGGAATTAGTCACTACTACATCCGGGTTGAGAGTGTTACACAACCTCAGGAGCTGGTGTAAGTTACTTGCGTTAACTTACGGAGTTCGATGTCAAATATTGGTTTTGAGTATACCATCTGTGTTTTGAGTATGCCAATCTGAGACTGAGTCCAGTTACGGGTACACAACGACATACAGTCCCATAAATGTTTTTGAGTCTCCGGCCCCTCATATGCGGGTACCCTGTAGCGCAATGGTAGCGTAGTCAGCTCACATCAGAAAGATCCCCGGTTCGATTCCTGGGCAGGGTGAGAAATTAGGCAGGTCTTTTTACTCCCGTTGCCTCTGTTCACCTAGCAGTGAGTAGGAACCTGGGGCCGGATACTCAAAACACCTCATAAGTTACGTTTTTCAGCATGATACAGTACCATATATTGTGGAAGCCTTACAGTACCATAAATTTAGCATACTCAAAATTTAATTATGGTTCCGTAAGACTTCCGTAAGTTCTCGTAACTCTAGTGTTTACCCTGTAAATTAAGTTCTCTTGTCGGACGGTAGATGTCAGTGTAGATGCTAGTTGGCCAATCAACGCTCAGTTAACAAAATCATCAACCAATCACAAGAGAAGGAGAAATCAGCTGAGAAAGCGGCCTTTTACGTGTGGGGTATGAGATGTTTGGGTTCGCACTCAGGATGGAATGGAGAAAGGAAACTCACAATGTGCTCTCTATATACATGTTGTATTGGATGTACAATGCAGCTTGGTGCTGGGAAGGCAGCATGGTTACAAGCGTGATGTAGAGAGAGCTGGTTGGTGAGGACGCTCAGAGAAGGACAGCTTGTGGGTCGCCATGCTCGCCAGCGGGAGAGAGGACCGCCAGGCAGGCGGAGGAGGGAGGGCCGCCAGGCAGCGGCAGAGGAGGAGGTGTTGCTGGCTGTGGCTGTAGGTAGAGAGAGAGATCACCACGAGGTCAGGTCTTAAATAACGGGGGTAGGCGTGGCTTAGCAGTTGACCCCCGCTCCGTGGTGTATGGCGGCGCTGGTTGACCTAGACCACGAGGCATACACTGGGGAATTGGTGAGGTCGGCTAGACAGCGACAAACAGCGTTTGTAGGGGAGAATTCCACTACAATACTCCCCCTTCCCTCCAGGCTGTGTAGGAGACTTGTTGTCTGCAGAGTTGCATAGCACATGTGAGGCAGAACGGGCGGTGCGTGCCTCATGTGAGACAACGGCGATGGCGTGGATGAGCCGGTCGCTGGGGACAACTGTCTAGATACACAATATCTGTGGGAGTAGAGAGGGAGAATAAGGGTGTGTGGAGGCGATGAATTTTGTGCTTCCCTCACGGTAGGTACAGAGTCGTCAGATGCGCCTGCTGGGGTGTGTGGGCCTGGGTCAGGAGCAAGGGCTGCGTCAGCAGAAGCGGATGAGGGCTCGTGACAGCAGCTGGGTCCACGACAGCAGCAGGGTGCAGGACATTAGCAGGGAGTACCTGGGGGAGAAAAGAGGGGTGTGTGTGTCCGCACTCAGGAACAGAGGCCGCATCAAGGGCGGCAGGGGTTACTGCTGGGCCGGGGTCGGCGTCTGAGGCAGGACGGGTGTGCTGGGTTCGGTAGGACGTGGTGCTTGGGGCAGGAAGAGGAGCTGGTGTCTGCTTAGAGTAGCAGAGCTGCTCTAGGGTGTCTAACCTGCGGTGTAGAGACAGTAGCTGTAGAGCCGATGAGAGCTGCTTCTGGGTGGATAAGCCAGTCTTCCATGTTGCTTGAAGACTGGGAGCGTGATCAGTTTCTCCTCCATCCTGTGTGAGTGCGAATCTCCGGGAGTCACCATTTGTGGGGTATGAAATTGTTTGGTGTTCACACTCAGGATGGAATGGAGAAAGGAAACTCACGATGTGCTCTCTATATACATGTTGTATTGGATGTACAATGCGGCTTGGTGCTGGGAAGGCAGCATGGTTACAAGCGTGATGTAGAGAGAGCTGGTTGGTGAGGACGCTCAGAGAAGGACAGCTTGTGGGTCGCCATGCTCTCCAGCGGGAGAGAGGACCGCCAGGCAGGCGGAAGAGCAAGGACCGCCAGGCAGGAGGTGTTGCTGGCCGGTTGGTGTAGGTAGAGAAAGAGAGAGATCACCACGAGGTCAGGTCTTAAATAGCGGGGGTAGGCGTGGCTTAGCAGTTGACCCCCGCTCCGTGGTGTATGGCGGCGCTGGTTGACCTAGACCACGAGGCATACACTGGGGAATGGTGAGGTCGGCTGAACAGCGACAAACAGCGTTTATGGGGGAATTCCACCACCAAGTGGGCGTTCATGGCCGACAAATCTATTAATATTCTTTTAAACTGTTTTTGAATCAGTGGATAAGGGCACTTCCCTACCCCTCCCAGCACCGGGTCCCAGCTAGCAGAGTCTCCCACAGGGCAGGTCAACAGCACCTGGAGCATTCCCCAGCCGCTGGGGCTGCCTCCAGGTCACACGTGAGTCATTGTCAGGGCGATCCCTAGGGTGAGATACTTACAGTGGGTACATCCATTTCATGTTTGTGTCGAGGTCATTGTCTGGTAACGTAAATATAATGATCTTTTAATGTGTCCATGCCATTGAGTTAACTAATAAATAGTTGGTGTTTTAAAATTCCCCTGAGAATGTATATTAACAGTTAAATAACTAATCGGCCATGCTACCAAATCTTCCTCACTTTACAATCCTACAACTAAAAATTCTTCCTATTTCTTTTACCCGAGTAGAGTGAGGAGCGATATGATCGAGGTGTCTAGATGGAAATCAGGGCTAAACAAAGGTGATATAACAAAGATACTCTACAGTAACTATCCAACCAGGAACGAACTCATAGCGATGGTTTTAAATTATACAAATTTAGATTTAGGCGCGAGATAGGTAACCACTTGTTTGGAAATAGATAGAGTAGTGGATGAGTGGAACAAGTTGCCAAACTTCATCATTAACTCGAACACACTGGATAGCTTCAAATATAGCTTGGATGGATATATGAGCGATAGGGGTTGGAGTGTAAACAGGAGTGCTAGTATGGGCCAATAGGCCAGCTGCAATTTCCTCCATTCTTATGTTCTCATGTTCATATCCTTATACACACAGAAAGTATATAAACACGCAGGTCTTTTAACTCATATTCCTCTCAGCATCCGCCTACGCTCCTCTTCCTTATCTCAATCTTTCCCCAAGCTCGAATATAATTCCGCAG